TCATAGGTCAAGAGACCCTGGGAACGGAGGGAAAGAGACTTACTAAGAAAAGCTAGCCAGTGGCCATCCTGAGTAAGCACAACACCAATCCCTATCCCACTCACATCTGTCTCCACAGAGAACGGCTTGGAGAAATCCGGTAAGGCCAGCACGGGTGCAAAAGTCAAGGCCTGTTTGAGAGCATGAAAAGCAGCATCATGAACAGTGGACCAGACGAACAGAGTCCCCTTCTTGAGCAACTCCGTCAGCGGACGAGTGATCACCCCAAAATGCTTAACAAAGCGCCGGTAATACCCTACTAGCCCCAAGAAACTACGGAGTTCCTTGACAAATGAAGGCACGGGCCAGTGTAAGACTACGTTCACTTTATTAGGATCTGTGGCCACTCTGTGCTCAGAAATGACATGCCCCAGATACTTCAACTGACGCTGAGCAAACACACACTTGGACAGCTTCACCTGCCACTGGTCACGGAGTAAGAGTTCCAACACTTGCCGGAGATGGACCAGATGCTCCTCAAGAGATTTACTATAAATCAGGATGTCGTCAAAGAAGACCAGTACGCCGCGACGCAACAAGGGCGCCAAAGTAGTGTTCATGGCATTCTGAAAAGTAGCCGGGGCACCAGTCAAGCCAAACGCCATCACACGGAATTCGTACTGTCGAATGAGTTTGAAAAGCCGTCTTCGGTTCGTCGCCCACTTGCAGTCGAATCTGATGGTAACCAGCAGTGAGATCCAAACAAGTGAACCATGATGCATGGGTGAGTTCATCCAGCAACTCCTCAATTACTGGCACTCGATACTTAGCCTTGGCTATGATTGCATTGAGGTGGCGGAAATCAACACAAAACCGGAATGTCCCGTCCTTCTTTTTAACCAGGAGAGATGATGAAAAGGGGCTCTTGCTAGGCTGAATAATACCAACATCAAGCATTTCAGTGACTTGCCTCTCAATTTCGTCCTTGACCGAAGGTGGATATCGGTAGAGACAAACTTGCACAGGAGATGCTCCCGGAATGAGTGGTATAACATGATCAAATGGCCGAGCAGGCGGATAACCAGCTGGAGGGGCAAACACTGACTCAAACTCCATCAACAATTCTGAGATAGCCTGAGGAATAGACTCCTGCTGAATACAATCATCAGAAGAAAGGGCAGTAACCTAAATAACCGAACCCTCCGGCAACTCCCTGAGCTTGCCCTACAATCGCACAGTCGACTGACCATAGGGAATCATCACCCACTTGTGCTGCCAATCAATTTGCATCGGACTATGGGTAGCCAGCCAATCCATACCAATGATCATGTCATAAGAGGGCATTGGAAGAGCCAAGAAAGTTGAAGTGAACTGACACGAATCAACTTCACAAGACAAAGCACTGAAAGATTGCGAGCACTCAACCAAACTGCCATCAGCGATGCGAACCTTTGGCGGATTGTCCAGCGATGTAGCACCGGCCAACTTACTGGCTAGAGTGGTGCTAACAAAAGAGCAAGAACTGCCTGAATCCACTAGAATCTGAATAGAAATGCCCTGGACAGTGCCCTCAAAATGAATAGATCTAACAGGTGTGGGAGCAGCGACTGTTGTCAATACCTGGACAGCAAACACCTGAGCACAATCATCCCCAAGGGTGACCTCCTCACAGCACTCAGAGTCTTCACTGTTGCACATATCCCAGAATTCTTGCAGTGCATGTAACTGAAGAGCTTCGGGGCACTTATGGTCGCGAGACCATTTTTCACCGCAGCGAATGCAGAGGCCTGCGGTGCATCGATAGGAGCGAAGAGTATTCAGCTTGTCCTCGACGCCCCGAGGACGCCACTCCTCCCCGGCAACAGCGCCACCAGCAGGGGCTCGCCCACCACGATTAGGAGCCGACGCCTGCTGCAGCATGGGCACGACCCTGGACTGTGATTTTCGGTGACTCGGATCCACCAGTTCCTCCTACAACAGGGCAAGAACACAGGCAGCATCCACGGTAGAAGGTCGTTGCATATGAACAACAGAATGTATGTCATCCCGCAACCCATCCACGAAACGCAAAGCATAAAACAAAGGATCTGTAGTTTTGCCATAGGCGAGGAGCTGATCAACTAAGCCAGTGAACCGGTCAGCGTATTCCTGAACAGCTCCGGACTGACGAATATGAAATAACTGACGAATTAGCAACTCATATTGATCCCGACCAAAATGATCCAGGACCAACTGACAGAACTCCTCCCAAACTCATCTTCTTCACCTTGATATCTAAGGACTACAGCCAGCGAAATGCGGCTCCAGTCATCCGCATGGAGGCCACCCGAATCCATTGACTGGGCTCAACCATATACATGTCAAAATAGTCATCGCAATGGCTAAGCCACAGCTTCGGATCCTCCCCATCAAAAACTAGAAAATCCATCTTAGGTAATTTACTACTAGAGTACTGTGGCCCCTAATGCGCGCGATGCTCATGCGGTGCGCCCCCAGCACTATGAAACTCTTGATCCCCCAACTCCAACGCCGAGCTAGAAAGCGACTTGTGAAGAACATACTGATGGGTGGGCTGGGGAAGGGTCTCGATGAGCTTACCCTTGACCGAGGGTGGAGCCATGGGCTCGGACTCCCGGTGGTGATGTGCCGCGCCGTGCCCAACAAACGGGCCAATGGCCGGGTGCTCGGCAGATGATGTCGCCGCGACCACCACAGGATTAGGCTTGAGGACCCCGGCAGATGCTGACGGATTCGAGTCGAGCACCACACGACTCACGGTCTTGCGGAGCACGGTCATCTCTTCACGCATCTGCTCCACCACGGCATCGGACTTGCGGACCTCGCCCAACTCCGCGCGCAGCTCCGCCACCGACGCATCCACCTTGGGCTTCCACTCGTCGAGCACCTTGGTGGCCTCCTCCAAGCGATTGAACCGGTCCCCGATGGAATGCTCCACGGCCCCGATCCGCTTGCCCAGTGATGCCTCCACCTCTCCGATTCGGTCGTCGAGAGACGACTCGAGGGAGACCTTCACCGATTTGAGCTCATCGAGAAGAAGCTTGGTATTGGCATCGAGAAGAAGCTTGGTATTGGAATCCATGGCCCCGATGTGTTTCCTAAACCTGGTGAAGTGGTCGTGGATGATTTCGTGGGGTTCTAGGATGGGAATCGAGACAGGGATTGCAACCTCCGATCTAGGTAGATGAATCGTTGGTTCGGCCGAGGAAGGATAGGCTCTGGATACCAATTTGTTAGCAGCAAGGGGAAACAGATCGGAGGAACAGAGCAAAGGGGCGAGAAGAACAGCAAGGGCAGGAAACGGAGGAATCTCAGGTTCGAGTTATGGGTTCTTTGTTTACAATCATCATGCCCACGGCAGAGATCAGCGCAGCACATAAAGGAAACTCACACCTACTCTTACTGGGCTCGCTAGACGGCCCATTCCGAACCGAACACCCTGGAACTCTTAACTCTGGGCCTCTTCATGCGACCTCCTTCCTCAGCTGAAGCCGACGAGCCCAGAAGCTTATCATGTGCGGCCCATGCAAAGGAATGCTGACTCCACCGCTCGCCCACGTCGTCTCCGCTGCCATCATCACTAATCCAATTATCTTATTCTTATTTACCGATCAACTACCCCGCTATCGGCACCTCCCAACTAGCCTCTTCCACCGCCTGCGTCCGCTATCACCGTTGATCTCCCCAAAGCTCCCTTTACATTCGTAGAACATAAAAACCTACAGCCTCGAAACTCTAACCACTTCCTGGCTTAGGGTCGGCAAATACGACTCGTCGGAGGAGGTTTGGGGTCGTCAGATCTAGTTTATTGGTCAATGATCATCATCACAAACCTTGGGCCCTGGGCAGCCATGGATTTGACGGGGAGAGAGAGGCGAGGAACACGGATGAAGGTGGAGGAACATGAAGCACACAAGTGTAGACTGGTTCTGAGATAAAGCAACAAAATATATTGACTGAACACAACAAAAAAAATTAGACACTTGAAATATAGAAAAAGTTCAAAGAGTACTTTCCTTTCCTCATCCCAACCAATCCAAGCTTTGTACACAGTATTCCAAAAAAAAAGAAGCTTTGTACAGTCGTACCACACCATTCCTACAGTCACGATCGTGAAAGTTCCACTTCGACCAGCCCGCGGGTCCCACGGACCACGACGGCTGGCCAGACCCGCAGACGATCGAGTGGAGATTCGTCCACCGGTCGGGCACCCTTTGGTACGCGAAGCGCGGCCGCACACCGGGGCCCGCACCCCCGTAGGCCACAAACATTCTTTTGCCCCACGCCACAGAAGATCCGCCAACAGTTCTACGATCTCATCGCACGAACGAGAACGAGGAACGCAGCCGCAACCACCCCCAACCTATGAACGCGCGCACGTCCCAGGCTCCCAGCCCGCCGCGAGATCCACAACGCGCACGCACGAAATCCACACCACTCCAAGAACAGATCCACATCACTGCTCCCTTTCTTTCCTTGGCTGCTGAGCCTGACTCCTCCGCATCGAGGGAAAAAAGGATACTACTACTACCAGCGGAACGGAAGAGCATCAAACGCCAGCAGCAGCAGCAAGGCAATAATAAAAGTCGGAGGCATCAAATCCAAAAGGTTTTTATTAGCATGGAAGCGATCCAAACCCCTGACCAATTCGGGAGGAGGAGTTGCATCTGTGACCTCCCCTGTTGCTCCTCTTCCTCGTCGCGGTCGCGCGCGCCCGCGTCCCTATTACTCTCCGCGTCTGGGTTGGGGCGCGTCCACCGATCCTGTTCTACTTCGCGTTTGCGCTGCGACGTTACCTGTTCCACTCGTTGGTGGAATTCGTGGCGCGGATCGAGCCGCGCGCCGGGCGGGACTCGCTTCGGGCTCGGTGCCTGTGTATTTATTGGGGAAATCGCCGTAGCGTGTGATTAGGTTTGTTGTTGTTGTTCTTCTGTGTGGTCTGGTCTTCGCGTGCTGTGTTTTGTTGTCTCGTGGAGGCGAATCTAGGGTTACGGTCGTCGGAGATGGAGTCCTCCGACGACGGGGGCTCCGGTCCGCCGGCAGCGGTGGGGATGGGAAGTCCCGGCCCTTCGTCGGCCCCTGCGGCCGTTGGCGGTGCGAGTAGCGCACCTGGCGCGTCTGGATCCGGGGGGAAGCCGCCGGTGAAGCGCGTCATGAAAACGCCCTACCAGCTGGAGGTTCTCGAGAGGACGTATGCAGGTTCGTCGACTACTGATGATTCTGAATGTTCTGGGGTTTTGTTTTTGCGAGCTTTTGATTGAATTGTGCGTGTGGTTTTCATGGGGATTTTGTTTGCGCAGAGGATTCGTACCCAAACGAGACGAAGCGGGCGGAGCTGTCGGTGCAGTTGAACCTCACAGACAGGCAGCTGCAGATGTGGTTCTGCCACCGCCGGCTCAAGGACCGGAAACCGCCGGCCAAGAGGCAACTGAGGGACGAGGAGGTTAGCGTCCCAGTCATAGCGCCGCCGCCGCCGCCTGTGCTTCCGCCTCCATTGCTGCCCAGCGAGATGATATTGGGGACTGTTGGAACCTATGGTGAGCAGCTGCCACCCTATTCCAGGAGAGGGCCTGGCCGGTCATCGGCTGTGCCTAGGCTATCTGTGCCGGAGATTGGGAGGAGATACTATGAACCACCACAAGTTATGCTGCCTCACATGGCACCAGTGCACCTTACGCAAGCGGAGCATCGGGTGATCGATTCTGTAGAATCACTTATAGGGGAACCTTTGAGGGATGATGGGCCAGTGCTTGGTATTGAATTTGATCCACTTCCTCCTGGTGCATTTGGCGCACCTATCGGTAAGAACCTTGTGCTCATGATGCGTTATATTTGATGCCTTAATATATATTTTTCAAATCAATTTACAATACATACATAAGACCGATTTAGAAGCCTATTGTGTAGACCTATCAAGCTCACCCAACTGTCATTCAAATATTTTTATTATTAAATGTAGTGGATATAGACTCAGATTTCTATTTTACTATGTCTTTTTATAACGTTGGAAGGTTTCGACGCGGATTGTTTTGTAGAGTCTGAAATCTGAATTGTTGCCAATGTATTCTTGCCATATTTACATTATGCTGATTTACTTTCTGCTATTTATTTTGAATGTTTTGGAGCAGTTCCTGAGCCACCAAAGCAGTCCTTCCGATCATATGAGACCAAGATGTTTTCTGGGCATGATCCCAAACCCATGAAGGTATGCATTAGTTTGCTTGCAGACAAATGCTTGTTTTTTTACCACTTCATTCATCCACTCCTTGTCTTTGAATAGATGACATAAATAGAGAGACTATCCATTTTTCTATGTGTTGTTTCCATCAATCTGCCTTCTCATAGGGATTCTTTTCACTGGAATAGTGGCTGCAGTTTGCAGTTAATGATACTTTTGGCATTTTCCGTAAGCCAAGGCTGTGCAATCGTGTTTTTGTTCTAATAAGATATGGCTGTAATGGTATTCGAGTCATGCCTGTTGTGTTGCATGTTTTATTCATTTCATGCATATTGTTGCATTGAAGGAATGGACACCATATGTGCATGCTCTCTTTATAGAGCATAGTCTTTTCGTTAGATTTGTTACTGTACAATGGTTTCATGATTATACTATATACTTTATCACACTTCATGGATTTGCATTGTTCAGAGTTTTTGAGTTCTAATCTATCTCTTCTTGTCCGCTGCTTTTTGTTCTGGATGAGGTTATTGTTTTCTTAAATAATCCAATCATGGATCAGTTTAAACTTTAAAATCTGTTTCCCCTTTGTAGGCTTCGGCATTCTTTCCTACCACAGACCCTTTACTTCCAAATACAGGGAAACGAAAGTCCTTGGTTGGGTCTTCTCATCTTGGCTCACAGGCAGTACATGAATACCAGTTTCTTCCTGAGCAGCCAAGTGACACATATGAGAGGGCAAGTCAGTCGCGCTTCTATGATGCTCCAGCAGAGGTGTCAAACTTGAGGGTAGCTCCTCTGTCTACAGGTTCACGCTCCTCTGGCTATACGTTACACAGTCAATCATCTGGTTCTAGCCATTTGGCTCAACGTGGCAGATCGCCCATTGCATCTGCATTGACAGATCATGAGGGGGCTTTGTCAAATATTAATGTTAGCCCAGCTCCAATCCACGGTCAATTTGGCATCCCTCAAGTTCCCGGATTCGAAAGCTCCCTCGCATCCTCTGAAAGAATGGGATATCATGATGATGATACATATCGTGTGGACAGAAAGCGCAAGGTATGTTCTCGCTGCATTTGTGGATATATTCTTTTTCTTCTTTTGTATTATTACGTTTTGATATAATGTTATCTTTGTCTAACGTTACTTCAGCATATTGAGGAAGCTAAGATTGCTAGGGAGGTTGAGGCTCATGAAAAGAGAATCAGAAAGGAGCTTGAGAAGCAAGATCTGCTGAACAGAAAGGTCTTCCTTAGTTGCACTAAGAAAGTTCATGCATACCTTTCATGATGCATTATTAATTTTTTTTCGTATTTCTGCAGAGAGAAGAACAAATGCGGAGGGAAACAGATAGACTTGATCGTGAGAGACGTAAGGAAGAGGAGAGGTTGATGCGTGAAAGACAGAGGGAAGAAGAGAAATTGCAAAGGGAACAAAGACGTGAACACAAGCGTATGGAGAAGTTTATGCAGAAACAATCTATAAGAGTAAGTTCGCTAGTTTCTGCAGCCTTTATTTGTAATACAAATTGAGTAAGCTGCAGACTTTTAAGTCTATTATGCTGGCACTGTTTAGTTCACAATTTGTTGCATGCACAGGCTGAAAAACTAAAACAAAAAGAGGAGCTTCGTCGAGAGAAAGAAGCTGCGAAGCAGAAGGCTGCTAATGAGAGGGCTACAGCACGTAGAATCGCGCGAGAGAGTATGGAACTGATGGAAGATGAACGCTTAGAACTGTTAGAACTGGCCTCTCGTAGTAAAGGGCTGCCCTCGATGGTTTCTCTTGATAGTGACACATTACAGCAGCTTGATTCATTTAGAGGTACACTCCACATTCATGGATCTGTGCTTCTGGACCACGTACACTGCTTGATGTGATGTAAGAAATTTTGATTTCTCCTTTTGCAGGAATGCTGGGAAAGTTTCCTCCTGAAACTGTGAGACTAAAGGTGCCTTTTTCAATAAAACCATGGGCAGCTTCCGAGGATATTATTGGAAACCTTTTGATGGTACCTCCTGATCTTTAGAATGTACATTTTCCCCTTTGGAAACAATGAGTGGTTATGAAAAGCTTTATAATTTTCGACATAGCTCTTTCTGTAAGAAAGTACTTCCCTTCCTAAGATAAGATTATTCAGTGGACAGAAACTAGAATACAGAAGTTCAATAGGCCTATTGATGTCTCTGTTTTGTCCTTTTTGAAAGTACATTTTTCTGTTGCTGTGATTTATGATTCTATTGTATCATGTATTCTCCTTGTGTTGCTACTTTTTGGCTATCCTGTGCTACTGCATCATGGAATTTGCGTATCTTAAGAGTGTATCACGTCTTAGAATTTATTCGTTTATGTTTCTAATAGAACGTGTTGTTGATGAAATCCAGGTTTGGAAGTTTTTTGTTACCTTTGGTGATGTTCTTGGGCTTCCATCATTCACATTGGATGAGTTCGTGCAGGCTCTTCATGATTATGTAAGTTCTTGATATAGCATATCATGTTGAAAGGTAGTCTTGATATGATGACATGATGCTGGTTCATTTTATATCTTGATGACAACTAGGACAGGGACATGGTCCTAGGCTTTTTCATTTGTACCATCTACTTGTTTCATTGAGTAAAGATATCAGCATATTATGATGTCATGCACTGTCTCATTTAACTCCTGTGAGTGATATAGTTTACATTTCCTTTTCCAGACTAAACTAAAATTTGATTGTTGGATCATGACTGTTTCATCATATCTTTGAACCTTTTCTTATACCATCTCATGGATTTAGATGTGTGCCATAACCAATTCTTCTTCTTATTCATCTGATAGGATTCAAGGCTCTTAGGTGAATTGCATGTTGCTCTGCTGAAATCTATCATTAAAGATATTGAGGATGTTGCCCGAACTCCGTCAGTTGCTTTAGGCGTAAATCAGAGCAGTTCTGCTAATCCTGGAGGTGGCCACCCACAAATTGTTGAAGGGGTATGTGTTCAGAATTTCTGGTTCTCTAAAACGTTCTTTTTTGAAGGATAGTGATGATTTTTTAATGAAAAAACATTTCTTGTTTAGGCGTATGCTTGGGGCATCAACATACTTAACTGGCAGCGCCACTTGAACTTTCTTACATGGCCTGAAATATTGCGCCAATTTGGTTTATGTGCTGGTTTCGGGCCTCAGTTAAAGAAAAGCGATGCTGAAATTGTCCATCATCGCAACGATAACGAGGTATTGTTTCTGTTGTGAACCTCGATTCATTGTCTTCAAGACACACCTTTGACAGTTACTTTTTCTACATCCTATAATAGCAGGATATGTCAAACATATAATGATCTGAGAGTATGTTTCTCTTGTCTATAGTAGGTGTAAAAGTTAGTGTACGCATTCTTAAACGATAGCTATTTGTGAATGGGTGTCTGGGGTGGGGTGGGGGTTAGACATTCATACTGCTTGTATTTTAGGCATCTGGAATCACCATGTTGAGGGGCATCATAAAATTGTGGATAGGCGAAATATAGTGAACTCACTGAAATATTATAAACGGTTATATAATTCTGGCTTATTTTAATGTCATTGCTTTATGTATTAATTTGTTTTGTTGAAAACATGTGAAATTAGTGCTTCAAGGCTTAATTAGCATATCTTCCTGGACTGATAAGCAGACAAGTCTTCATTTGGTCCATGGGTGATAATTGACGGACTAGATTGTCCACTCGATTTTACATGGCCAAAATGTGATCCCATGCAGAGGGAAGGTGTAATTGGATGATGCCGCTGGCATCTGCTAGAAAACTACCATTTTATGAGAAACTCGTATATACTATACACATTACTGTTTGGAGTCTTAAAGCTGACTAGAGACTTGTATCTGTGGCCTTAAGGATTTAGATCTTAAATGGGTTGTTAGCACTTCCAGGGAATGAATAGGTGTTAAGTGGATCACCAGTAGTAGCAGGGCTATGGTAAGAAAGGTTTTGGGTTAATTTACTAGAAATCGACTGGATTCAATTTTAAGTAGAGGTGTATGTGTTCCATTCATGACAATTCAAAAAAGTATAGCTGCATCTTGCATATTTGCAGCAGACTTGTTTTTTAAACTGTTTCATTTTTCTGTTCGTATAAACAAGATGGAAATTTCCCAAAATATCTAATCAATTCGTGCTTTTTTTTGAAAGGGCCGTAATGGTGTAGATGTCATTTCCTTTCTGCGAAATGGTTCAGCGGCTGTAAAGGCTGCTGCTTTAATGAAAGAAAGAGGGTATACTAATCGTCGCAGGTCTCGACACCGTCTGACACCTGGAACAGTAAAGTTTGCTGCTTTCCATGTACTGTCACTTGAAGGGAGCAAAGGTCTCACGATATTGGAAGTCGCAGAAAAGATCCAGGTATATCCCCATCAAACAAATTTCTAGATTGTACTGACCTGTTATTTCTAATGGAACATATTTTGGTTTGTTCTTTTTCTCTTCAGAAATCTGGACTGAGAGACCTTACAACAAGTAAGACACCAGAGGCATCTATATCTGCGGCATTATCGAGAGACACTAAGCTTTTTGAAAGAACGGCACCTTCGACATATTGTGTTAAAACTCCTTACAGAAAGGACCCAGATGACTCTGAGGCTGTGTTGTCAGCAGCACGTGAAAAAATCAGGGTGTTTCAGAATGCGCTTTCGGAGTGTGAAGCAGTGGAGAAGGACGTGGATGAGGCTGAAAGGGATGAGGATTCTGAATGTGATGATGCTGATGATGACGCTGATGGTGATGACGTGAATATTGAGGACAAGGATGCCAAGTCTCCCCTAGTTGGAGCTCAATATGGTGCACAAAGTACAGTAGTTGGTGACATAAAGAAAGAATCAAACAGTGTGATGAACACATCAGTGTCACCAAGCATTCAGATTAAATCTAGTGCAAGTTTACCATTGCATACTTTAGACAGTAAAACAAGTAGTTCAACTGATCCAGAAGTTGGAGGTGATGCTAAAAACACTGAGATAGACGAAAGTAACCAAGGGGAGTCCTGGGTACAGGGGCTAGCTGAGGGTGACTACTGTGATCTTAGTGTGGACGAACGCCTCAATGCTTTGGTTGCGCTTATTGGTGTTGCCACTGAAGGAAATTCTATCCGTGCAATTCTGGAGGTAATGTTTCTATTATGATTTTGTTATCTTGCTATTTTCCCATTGAACATCATCTGAACAAGAGACTTTACAGGAACGCCTTGAAGCAGCAAGTGCTTTAAAAAAACAAATGTGGGCTGAGGCACAACTTGATAAGAGGCGTACAAGGGACGACTTTACTAGTAAGACACAGTATGATTCTTGTGTGGGTATGAAGGTTGATACAGATCAAGAAAATGCTGCTGAAAGTACCCTTACGCCAGTGCATAACCCTATTAAAAACAATAACGGAAATGCCAGTTTGACGAACAATGATTTGCTTGATGACAAGCAGAACCAGCTTATTACTGGTGATGTATTTCATCAGCGGAATGGTGTAAGCCGAGAATTGAGTACTAACCCCGAAAGCTTGTCTGTTCAGCAATATGCTTCATCTGAGAAAACTAGATCTCAGTTGAAATCCTTGATAGGTCACAAGGCAGAACAGCTTTACGTGTACAGATCGCTACCCCTTGGACAAGATCGGAGACGGAACCGGTATTGGCAGTTTTCTGCATCTTCATCATCCTATGACCCTGGTTCGGGAAGAATCTTTTTTGAATCTAGAGATGGATACTGGAGGGTCATTGATTCATCTGAGGTAGTTGTTTCCTCAAAACAATCTTAGTCGCAATTTCATCAGCTAATATTCTCAATAAGAGGTCTCTAAAATAGAGTAGTTCAACTGATGATTCTTGATCTTTCAATGTGTTAATTCGTTTGTATTTTATGTAACCTCTGGGAGGTATTTAGATCTAGTTTGAACGGCGGGAACTGCAATCTTAGACACTAGATCAACTTTGAATGGTGGGGATTATGGATTTATGGTGTTTGTTTTCTTCTTAGAAGGTCAAAGGTATAACATTGAAGTTGGATCAATCAGGGGTTGTGGTATTTGATAGCTGACAAGAGCCATCTATATTTTGTTGAAATGCTTAGAGTAGTTGTCAACTTGTCATTCTCTTATTTTAAGTTTGCTTCTTATTTGATATTATAAAATGCTTCGCTTTTAAGATTTTGTGCTTGTTTGTCCATGTCGTGTTAGGCAGTAGGCACAACGTTTGGGTCATACTACTGGCATTTAGCACTATTTCATTGGGAAACCAGTGTTTCCGCTGGTTATGAAATTATATGTGCCTAGTTTTGCTTGTTCCAGATAGTTATGATTCGTACGAGATTCTGAATGTCTTTTAATATCTGATTCCTTGTTGGTTGTGTCCTTGAAGATTACTGTTCATAGGGTTTTGAATTGTTGGCAGTAACCGCAGATATCTCGTTCAGTTCCTAGCAAAACCTGTTAGTAAGTAGACTATTGAACACACACATAGTGAGTGGTTACTAAGTTGTTAGCTTGACTGACTTCATGATGTAGAGATCCTGTTGTACTGGTGCTTTAACGTGATTTCTGATTAAAAATGCAGGCGTTTGAAGCTTTGGTAGCTTCCCTTGATACTCGTGGCATCCGTGAGTCACATCTGCACTCAATGTTGCAAAGTATCGAGCCAACTTTTAAGGAAGCTGTTGAGAGGAAAAAGTGTGCTAGTTTAGAACACACAACTGGACGGACTTTGAAAAATGGAAGTAATGAAAGTCCAAACTGCAACAATGAGTTTGGAAGTCCATGCAGTACCCTTTCTGGTGTTGCTTCTGATAATCTTATGGCATATTCAGATACTTTCAAGATAGAGATTGGGCGCAATGAAGCCGAGAAAAATTCTATCTCGAAAAGGGCTTCCGTGTTTCTGAAATGGATGTGGAGAGAGTGCTACGGTCACCAATCCACATACGCCATGAGATATGGAAAGAAGTGGTGCCCTGAGTTGATTCAATCTTGTGACCATTGCTACCAGATATTCTTAGCTGAAGAAAGGCACTGTTCTTCTTGCCACAAGACATTCAAACCCATTCACAATTTCTTGGAGCACTCATCACAATGTGAAGAAAAACAGAGAACGGATCCTAATTGGAAGACGCAAATTGTGGACTTTTCTGTACCCGTAGGATTGAGATTGCTGAGGCTGCTCTTAGCTACCATTGAGGTAAAGTGACATTTTTATGGTCATTCATTAGTGACGTTTATTTTGTTTGTTGCAAAAAATGCTGTTTGTGTGATTTGTTAGATTGCGTGTTACAGGCTTCAGTACCGGCAGAAGCTCTCCTACCTTTTTGGACGGATGGGTATCGAAAATCTTGGGGTGTGAAGTTGTATTCTGCATCATCTGCCGAAGAAGTCTTGCAGGTTGTATTTCATGTTTTTTTTGCTATCTTTGTTTGCTGTATAATTCCAGTGGCGGAGTCTGGAAAGGATTAGAGAAGATACCATTTTATAACAAGACCAAAGGAAAGAGGGGCCCAAATTAGTATTTTCTTGGCAATTGAATGGTGAAATTGATTACTAGTAGTACTTTCAAAAAAATTCTTTTGACGAGGTGGCCCATGGGCCACCTTGGCCCTTTTGAACTAACACCACTGTATACAGCTATTACTAAGTTGTTAATATATTGAACTTCCACCACTGTATACACCACTATATATGCTTATGAACCAACTTGGATAGCTATTGTGTAAGAGGAGAATTAGCATGGTTTAAGAAGCCTGATTTTAATTTATCATCAAAGTTTATGTATAAATTTTGTGTTCATATCTAAATCCTGCCATGTCATATTTCTGCAGATGCTTAGTGTGCTGGAAGGTGCAATAAAGCGAGATTACTTATCATCTAACTTTGAAACGACAACTGAGTTGCTTAATTCAAAAACACAAGATGCTACCCAGAATTCAGTTGGAGGTTCTGCATCTGCCACTGTACTTCCATGGGTTCCTGATACTACCGCTGCTGTCGCCTTAAGATTGTTAGACTTGGATACTTCCATCTCATACACACTTCCTCCAAAGTTGGGTTCAAATAAGGAGCCAGAAGCTGGAGATTTCATGGTGAGCCCTATAGCTTATTATTATTGCATCAAAAGGCTAGTGGTGACTACATGTGGTAATTGATCCTCTTGATCTGCTATGTCTGGATCAGTTACATGATTTTGTTTCTTTTTTCACTGTGCAGAAGCTTCCACCGAGATATCCTTCTATTAGTAAGAACAAACAAGAAATAGAACAGTTCAGACCTATTGGTTTTGATCAACAGGATGGAGCGCTGCTAACTAACAGCAATGGTCGTAGAGGTCATGGACGGGGAGGTAGAGGAGGTGGCAGGGGAGGTAGATCTCGTGGTCGTGGTGGTAGGATTCCCAGGGGTATTGGCAGCTCTTCCAGGATTCAGTTCAGGGATGACAATAGTGTGCCCTATGGGAGAGCCCCTCGAAAGAATGCACGCGGTGGGCGTAACCGTGGCCGTGGCCGTGGACTTCGAACTGTTAGACCTCGGCAACCATCTGAGCTCAGTGCCAGATCAATTCCAAAGGCAAACCTATTGGGCAGCTTTAGTATGCTAAGTAAGGCAAATCACACTGGCACTATGCATTCTCCTGAGAGCTCAGGTGCAGAAGAGTGGGCCTTGGAGAGAAGGGAATATGTCAAGGATGATGATGACAATTCGGTCTCTCAATCCGATGAGTCAGAGGAGGAAAATGGTGAGCCTATGAACGAGGAATATGATGAGCAGATTTCAGTCTATCCAAGGGACAATTCGGAGTCCAGCCCTGTACAAATGATGGATGATGCGAGTGACGATAACGATGAGGATGCTGAAGGAGATGAGGGTGAGGAGGATGGAGAGGACTATGAAGCTGAAGATCCTGCTGGTGATGAGGATGACGACGTTGAGATGGGTGGGGATGATGACATTCGGGACGACGACGATGACGATGGTGGAGATGGAGCAGCCAACTCAGATGAGGATGAAGGTGATACATCATCATATTCTTCAGAGTATACTGAATGATGAGAGTGGATTGAAGTTGTGCAGGCTTGTGGTAAATGATGTAACGGAGGCTTTGGTGGGCTCACCAACACTAATGCTGAGTTGACAAACTATTTAAGAGGCTGCCAGTTCGAAACTGTGTTGTGGCTCGTTATTAGATAGAAGCCAGTCAACGTTAGAAGATCGGCCTTGTACATGAATCAGGTCATTTGTGGTGTATACATACATACCAATTACCATAAGTTGAAAAGAAGGGTCCAATCAGCTGTCTGTTTTTTGTTCTTCAGCTACTTTTTTTTCATTGTTATACATTGGAAGCGTTCTCTTACGGTTGTCACAAGCTTTGCATATAACAGTATGCTCCGCACAACCCCAATACGCGAGGAAGACCATCGCTGTTCGGTTGATGGTTTTTTGGTTGATAAGTTGGCTGAAGTTGATTTGGTGTGCGAGAAAAATACTGTACCATGGCTGATAAGTTAAAGCGAATAGGATATTAAACACTGTACCATGGCTGATAAGTTTAAGGGAAACAGGGTATTAGCTCAAGCTCAAACTATCAGCACCAACCCTAATACTCACAAGCTTACATCTTCCTGATCTTAGCTGTGCTTTGAGGATGAATCAGAGGGTGACTTGTCGTAGTTACAGAGTCTTGAGAATGGTTGGTCCAGTAATTCGTCATGAACTCTTAGAATGTGAACCTCTATCTGTGCCTGAAATCGAATCCTTACCGCAACCATTTGCCATGATTTCAAACTTTTGGTTACTTTGGTGTTTCGCGCCTGTGTTCCATCTTTTCATTGAGATGTTACGATCATAGATTAGATTCCAGTGGCTGAGTATTCCTGTTATGATTGTTGAATGATGATTTGCACTGGCTCGGTCGCTCAAATCTACCGTCGCAAGTTTGTGGAAAATGCACATATGTTGTTCATCTTTTTTGCATTTTTTTTTTTTGAAGACATCACCGGAGGGATCCCATAGATTATTGATTCCAAGCCAGCCGGGATGGAGTGCCATTCACTGTTATGTCATATTTAGATTACAAATGATGATTTAGGAGAGCTTAGTTTATTACAAACATCGGTCTATCAAATCTACCGTCAGCAAGTTTGTGGAAAATGCAAGGCATTCTTGACGATTGTTCGGTTTGGAGAATCATTGTAGAAAAGAGCTTTGATGGCACCTCACCCGGCCTGGGCAATTCCCAGAGTCTGTTGACAGGAGGGATAGGCAGGTCTCTCCATCCAAGGTGGTTGCTTGCTTCACATTTCACAACGATGAACCTCATGTAAGAGAGTTCATCAACTTCAGTTCGTTTGCTTTACTTTCTTTTACCACGGAGTAAAAATTTCAGTAAACCGTCAGTTTTACAGTTGGTCTGAATTGAAATAGTGCGTCGACGCAACTTGCAACTGGTACTGCAAACATGCAACACATTAGCAGGAGCACCCACAAACCATCCGAAAATAAAAAAAGGCAGCATCCATCCTTTTTTTTTTTGACAACATCAGCATCCATCCTTGATTCCTTGTCACCTGCACAGTTGCACTGTTGCACTAGTCCAGAACGACAGAGCAGAGCACGCACCACTTTGCAAAAGTGACCAGCGCCAATTTTAGTCCAACGAAGGGAGTCGTCGAATAGGCATATGCCGCTGTCTGCGTTTGCGTCTCGCTCTCGGCTCACGCGCTCACCGGCATCTGCGAGCGTGGAGCCGTGGAGGAGCGCGTTGCTGCTGTTAGCCTGCAGTGTAGCGCGGTATGAGGTGGCGATGGCCGATGGACCTGCCTGCCATGAGCCCACGAGCTGCCGCAACGAAATTAGGCCCAAACGTAACACCACCTTGGACGATCTTTTACTTGACGAATTTCGCACCATGCTCTCCGGCATCACATTTTGCCACGTCTCCGGCATCAAATGTGGCCACGTCATCTATATTTTCTTCACCGTTTGATCGAATTCGAGGTACATCTACAACCATTGATTCCTTTGCATGTGCAGCCACTAATCTAGAAAGTACGTCATATGTCCAGAACAGGCGTAACCGCGGTCGTGCATAGGCTTGGGTTCGCTGCCAGGAGCGCGCAAGTCTCCAACCCGCGCTACTCCCGCTGCGTCAACTGAGCCCAACCTCGCCCCCAGACCCCGGCAAGACCTACCTCCGATGTAAGCTCTGGCCATGACAGCGAGCATGCGCGAACAAGCCGCGCCGCCCGCCGGCGGCAGGCCTCTTCCATGGCACTCCTCCGGGACCTGATCACCTGACAGGCTGACACCTTCCACAGCGACGCAAGATTAAGATCATCCTCGAGCCGCGGGCGGCCGCCACCGCACCCCGACGCCCATGGATAAGCGCGGGCGCAGCCGCGCATAGGCACGCGGTACTCGCGGAGGTGAGCAGCGACCTGCTGATGGCCGGGAACAATCGAGGGCTTGCGTTGCTCGATCTGCAGACTGAGGGAAGAACCTCTCGACCAGATCGAGAGACGCGCGACAGCGGCTCGCTACAGTGGCAGATAGAAATGACATGGACGAGGCACACATACAGTACAGATTTGGCCCGGGAGCGAGCAAATCCAGCCGTGTTGCTGCTGCTCGATAAGTAACAAGATTTTGCACCAAAACTCCACGGTCTTCAGCATTAAGCTGCCAGCCTTTGATAATTTGATTAGTCGATCGATTCCATCCTTCAGTAGGCGCCAAAGGTTTGCATCCTTGTATTTCTTCAAAATTTTCCTCAATTAAATGTCCTGCTCTTGCACTTCCAATTTTGCTTTCTTCACAGTATGGCTCACTTCACTTTCAGATACCATACCATGTATGATGTATCCCTCTTCTTTATGTCATTGCTCTTATGTCTTTGGTTTCTAAATTGCATCTATAATAATTGACAAGCCACTTAATTAATTTCCTGGCCCGAGCACAAATGTTTTCCCCAATAGGTAATTATCCTTTGATCCGTGTACATTTAAATAGTGTAATTTTGTTTTTGTTTTCCTTCTTTCCAGGCTGCTGCATACTTTTTCCACGGATTGATTCTTGACGAGGAAGAGACTGAAGTCCAAAGGGATGGCCATACCTACTGTGCAAGCATCAGAAGCATAGATGTGTAGTTTTCAGCTTGTGCTACAAATGCTATGAATAAAACCATCTTTGCAAGCCCAAAATTGCAGACCTTAGATATCCCTTATTTCTATCATTTTACCTGTATTCTTATGTTGAAATATGCTTCCAGAAAATCTACAATTGATGAATTTTTGAGATATGCTTTCATCACCTCCTTCAGCCCTTTACCAGCATCGGTAACATAAAGTTTATTTTTTCAGTATCTCTGCACTTATATTTATCCATAATAGTGAAAACACCACTGGCCAAAGGTGGCGCGTCCCTGAGTTTTCTAGTTCCAGACGAAATTTCGAGATCCTTCTGGTTCTGGCCCGTCCCTGCCTTGGGCCCCTGGTCGTGCCGTGCGTGATCTTTCCATGGCTTTGTTTGCTTAAGCTTATAAGCCAGAATCAGCCCTATTTTTTCAACCATAGAATAATATTTTTCTCTCACAACAAATTAGTCATATAAATCAGTCGCAGCAGAAATAAGTCCTGCCGAACAGAGCCCATGTTCCCACGCTCCAAGAAAGAAAACCAGAAGAGGCACGCGCCCCCTGTCCGCCCTCCCCCAATCCGTTTGTTTCCCACGGCGCAAGAAAGAAACAAGACAACGACAGCTTGAGGGCTCCTCTCCCATTCCGATCACCAATTCGCCATCCACCGCCTGCAACTCTTCTTCTCCTCTCCGCCATTGTCACGGAGTCACGCGCGCGCTCTCCTCTCCTCTCCCCTCCCACGAGTTCATCAGCCTGCTAAGGTAAGACCGTAAGAGGAATCGCCTCGATGTATCGACCGATTCATCAATCTGTGGCAGAACCGCCTAATCTAATACCTCCCAGGAGTACTTGTCTTCCATTAGACACTAAGTACTCAAGAGAGGGCACTAAACTACGTAGTCCCGTCGAGCACACCCCAATGGAGAACTCAAAAATCCTTATTTTCCAACCAGGATCGTAAATAAGAGGATAAATCTTATAACATGCTTAACCATTTCTTACATCTCTTTTAATGCAGCATCAGAGTATTACACCAATTGATTATAACAGCGAATTATACAATGTTATCAGAGTGTTCAGCGGAAACCAAAATTTAGGTAATGACAGTTCAAACGATTATGTCCGCAACGTTAAGGAAATCCTCACTGAGCCCACCAGGAAGTTCCCGCACATAAGTGCCAGCTCTAGCATCCACCTGTCACCTGTAATAGGGTAGAACAAACACTGAGTACTCAATTGTACTCCACAAGACTTACCCGTCAGGAGGAAAGAAAAGACTCCAAGGATATGCAGGGCTTATCTAGCTTGTGGGTTTATTGCATCTGCATGAGACATTACTAAGCGTGCATCCTTATATTCAATTTTATTAGCAGTCACCATTAATCCATTATCTAACCATTCTAGGTAAGCACCTGTGCTACTTTCAAGCAGGTGGTAAGCAATCAGAACCATTTTACCATCTTTCATATTTCAGTTCTTACTAAGCACCTGTGCTACTTTCAAGCAGATGGTAAGCAATCAGAACCATTTTACCATCTTTCATATTTCAGTTCTTACTACGGTGCTAGATCATAACCAAGTCGTACCGTATCACACGGTGATTCGCGAACCAATGTATCCTAGCTGGGTATCCCCAAAACACACGCCCCGCTTGTACCCCAGGCACAAGCAAGACCAATCCACCACTCTCCTATCAAGGGGTCCAGGTCCCCATCCAAACTTGGACTCCAAGCCCCCACACCCGAGTCCCGGACTTAGTGTGGTGCTTAGACCTCCACCATCTCCGCCTCTAATCAGTCGGTCTAGAAAGAGCCGAATCCCATGACAAGAGAGCAACGAGCCTTCCCAATCCCATAAGCAAGTATGTGCTTAGGATAATAAGGCAGTGACCTGACTAGAATCCAATGCAATA